TCCAAATTTGAAAAACAATACTGTACCAGAAAAATATTTGCTTCGGTAACATGTGGTATTTTCAGCAGTTGAAGCACCAACGAGAGCCTATCTTTTTTTTAAATCTATTGATCTTAACATTATTGTAAGTATTGGTATTACAAAACGTGAATGTCTGCAGAAGTTACACAAATCTCTGCTCTAAACAGGACAGCAACCACAGCCCGACCGATACTGAAATTATGAGTTGAAATTAAAAAGAAAAAAGCTATGATATATTGGCCAATAACCATTTTTAAAACAGCTTTGCAAAGGATTCCATCTTTTTTTTTTTTAAATTTTACATTTGAATAATAAACTCGGTACACTCTGTTGGACAACAGAGTTAATGGTGACACTTTCGAAATGACCTCAGACATTTCGGTACTTCAGTTTCTTTTGTTTTCTTGTGATAATGTACCTGTGGTAAGCTAAAATTTGGCTGACATATTATCTCGTTTATGACTAATTAACTCTCATTTACTTTTTAGGTTGGGAGATCTTCATAAAATAGGGAAAAACTTGTCTGAACGAGAGTCCAAAGCCCAAAGATGCTGACTTTACAATGATATAAAACAGAGCAGCAACGGTTCACATCTTTAAAAGCTGTAACCAGTGATGGTTTGATTGTTCAAATTGTTTTAGCATCTGATATTTGTAAAGTTTGCTGTTTTGCTTTAGCCTCCTGAGTTTAATCTATACCACATGGACTTAGTCGCCTTCGTTTACATATGGAGTATTTGAATAACCAGCAGTTACAAAGCTATGTGTGTTTGTAGCCTACACACAGAGCAAGCAAATCAATTTGGCCAAGAAAGTTAAGGTAAGAGAAAAAATACATTTGCCACTATCTAAGAGTTTAGGTATTATTACCCCTCCTTAACTATTTACAGACCAAACCAGTGAAGAATGAGCTGAATTACCAGCTGAGGGTCACTTCCAGGCCTGTAATGTAAAGCCAGAGAGGGAGTGACGATGGCGAAGTTTAGTGCTAGTCAATGATTTCCTCGAGGGATCGACTCTGAGGCTCCGCGGTGTGAAACGAGCTGCTTTCACTTAACCCGCTGCATTGGAAAATGTATATAAAGTAAATGTCACGGGCGATGGGAGGTGCGAACAGGTAGAGAGAAAGGACTAAACAAACTCCGGTGTTACCAAGTGAAAGACAGTGGAGGAGGAGCATTATGAGAGTTGGTCAGTGATGTCTGCGAGGAGTGTGTAGAGGCAAGTGTGTGAATGGAAAAAGCAAAGCTGAGCAAACATCAGCAAGAATCCCACCTCACGTTGGATAATAATGACTTTTATACGTTGGTGTTGTATTCCACGTGTAATTGGTGTTGCTGTGCCAACACCTCAAACAAAAACACCTACAGAAAATGGTCCATGATGTGAAAACACAGTTACATGTTCTTACTTTCATATGCAATGTTGCGGAGATACTGTGCGGGTCCCTGAGCTTCACTTACTCTTTAAATATGTCGTGATAAGCAACCGTATTCTGCATTCGTCCCTACCTTCTAAGGCAACCCTTTATATAGCTTTTAGAAGTTGTAATCTTAAGCTTTATTAATGGTAATAGATCATTCATTAGTGCTTTATAGATCAGTTATTAGATAAACTAATTTTGGTTTGTGATTTTGTATTTATGTTATACATGTTCAGCTGAAAAGGTTCTGATTAATTGAATAGTCAATCAACAGAAAATGAATACTGTTTTCTGACATTTGATAAAGCAAACGATTAGTCTATTAATGAAACAAAAAAAAGATCTGCAGATTCATCGATGAATGAAATCATGTGAGGCAGCCCTAACATGTTAGCCATTTTCATATCAGCGGCTTATAACGGATCTATAAAGCTTTAGTAGATTATTATCATCCCTAATGCCATTGGTTACAATTTATAAACCCTTAATGGTGCATCATTTAGAAGTGGTTTTTGCAATATGTTATAGAATAACTGAGTTGAGATGACCCGTGGTTTTGTTTTTTACAATTTTTCTTCCTAAAAGTGTTTTACAGATTTGTGATGAATTCTTCTGATTTAGCCACTGAGCTGTTTTCCAATTCTCTTTTCCTCTAAGTAAGTTGAATGAGTTCATTCTTCAAATATCAAAAAAAGTGCATCCAGTAAAAGATGATGGACAGACATCTGTGATACTATTTGACTATTTTCTGTTCTGCTACAGAGTGGAAACGCACACAAGAGCGAGCCCCGGCCAGTAGCTTCTCCTCTGGAGGTGTAAAGTGTTTCTCCCCTCCACACTTTGCCTCCCGGCTGTCTTTGTAACTAGCTAGAAATATGCCTTTGTGTAAAAAAAAAAAAAGCCACAGAGACAGTAGCGTTGAGATCAGTGTCATGTCATCTTTGGCCTCCCTCCAGCTCCGCTCACACCATCTTTTTGTCTCAGACAGCCAGACGTCACACAGACAGTTGAGGCCTGTCACTCTAATGGTGTCTTGTTTTGGCAGACATGTGGCCCTTTGGAAAGATCTGACGCTGATACAGGTTACTATGCGTGCCTTACCGAGGAATGTACACGTCATGTTATTGATATTGAGTAAATTCAGACCAACATTTGTCGGTTGGAGCTCTTTGCTAAGCCATATCCATATATTGTACAAATTCCAATGCGTATTTGCTTATCTTTTAAGTTACAGGCATGTGCAGTAATAAAGTGCTTCCTGGTGTGGTGTCAGTATAAAACATGTCTTGAATTCACATGATTTTTAATTCCCCACTGTTTTTTTCAAATGGACTTCAGGGATCTTTCATTCCCTGACTGCTTGCCATAGAAATGGAACGGTTGTCAGTCATAGGTAACATACCGGGTTAGCTGGATTTGTTTGTTTTGGCACTTTGAATATGTTTCCTTGGCATTGTTAGCATAGTGCGCTCTAACAAAACATGAGACAAATAAGAGGAAGATGTTATTCCCAGCGAAGACAGTCCTCCTGCGTTGTGCATGCTTCGCTCTGTACACCTCAAACCATGCATTTCTTTACTCTGAGTGTGTTGCGAGAGCAATCTCCGTCAAGACCCAGCTTGCCAGGTTTCCATTTGAGAATCCATAGCTGTCAGACAAGTTAAGGAAAGGCAAACACACTTTGTAAAAAGGGAAACCATTTGACCCAATCTGAAAGCAAATCCTGATGCCTCCTTTTAGATTTTGACTGCTCGGATTTTCAACCCAAACGTGAATGCATCGTAAAGATGATATCGTATATCGCATGTGTGAACTATTAGGTCCATTGGTATGAAACAGACTCGAGGGGAAACATTTCAGTCAGTTATTGGACCTATTAAAACAAATGTCTTGTTGAAGAACTCCTGTGACCTTCTGCTAGAGGCTGAAGTGAATATGAGTGGTGACAGAATCGTCTCTGAAAAACAGTAATGAAGTCAAAAATGTAAGTAATGAAGATCACCGATCAACACTTCTGCTCTATTGATGAAACCAGTGCAGACATCCAGCAGGTGCTCTGCACCTTTACGAAAATACTATAGAGTCATTTATTTTACGCTGCTTGGCTAAATCCAACAACAATGTGTTTCCCATTTGCTGTGGTTACTCTTCACAGTCTTATAGTTGGACTTCTTTTATTTCGTTTGGCTGTATGTACACTTTTTACATGCAAGAAGGGATGGACAACAAGTCACTATTCCTGATTTAATAATGCTGTGATAAATGTTATGGACTGTATCCGTTATGATATTCATTTGCAAAACTTGGTTCTTCAATCCTTGTTTAGGGTCAGTTTTTACAAAGAAAATGTACAACTTCTTTCTACTTGAAAGCAAGAAGTTGGAGTCCCGCTTTTTATTAGTGCATCATTGGGCGAGGTGTCAATCGGTGCACAAAAGTGTCTTTAAAAATGTCCCATGTCCATCCCCGAAGGCACGTTGGCCAGACGACTTGTGCTTTTGTGAGTTCTGTAAATCCAGTTATTCTTCAGTTTCACTTTAAGGGTGTAAAGGAGGCCAGAAATTCCACATAATGAACAACCACGGTGCCAATCCTGTCAGTTGGTGTGACCAAAATGGTCACAGGCTGACAGTCATGTCCCCTGTGTGTGTTTATGAAAGTAATGCTCTGCTCTCCCCATCACAACCTCAGAACGCTGGTCGTCGGTTTTGCCAGCTATGTGGCAGTCCTCGCTTTGTGTGTTTTATATACGCTTCCCTTAAATAAACCGACGAAAGGAGTGCAAGTCTACCACATGTTCTCCATACCGTGTTTAGAACTGAAGCTTCTGCTTGTATTTTAGATGGATCGCAGCTTTAAGGTCCTGAATGCCGGACTTTTGTTACAGGGCTTCTATAATGAGAGTGTAAATCCTGCTGTGTGATCATGTTTAAATGTACAACACTACTGTGAGTGACAACCCCCCCCCCCCCATCAGGATATGATATAAATATTAAACCAAGTCTCCGCTGGCGACTGTTTCACATACATGTGGTATGACTGTCAAGTCCACTGCATGCCATTGTTTAAAACATGTCCCCATACCAGTTGAGCTCTTCATTACTTCTAGAAATTAGAACGGTATCTGAAATCCTCGATACTGAAGGCAGTGAGCTGCTGGTGCTGTGACTTTATTAGCGTGTGAGGTCTAAAAACGGGGACAAAGCGGTGTCAGGAACTTCTTATGAAAAGAAAGAACTCTTCCACCTCTGCAGAGAATTCGCTCTATATACAGACACGCCTGTGCTGGAGGTTGATCTCAATCTCCAGCAAATGTTGAATTCCCCTGAACATTAACCACTGAACAGCTGAATTCATTTGAACATTAACCAAACTTTTGAGCATTATATGCCCCAGCTGTGCTTCCTGTGCTGTTTATGTAGTATATCTTTGCAACTTATTGTTTGTCCAGGAAGGTCAGCATCCTGCGCTTTATTGGAACCTTTTATCAAGATGAATCCACTCTCTGTGCAGTGTTTTTAACTGACCTGAGTGCGTCTGTGATCTTTCCGTCTAGGTTGACAGGTAATGAACCGTTGTCTATCCTGCCACTGAACTCTCTACCGGAGGAGAACGTGGGCAGGGCCCACTACAAGCTGTGCGACCGGCTGAAACTGGAAAAGAAGCAGCGCAGGATGTGTAGACGAGACCCGGGCGTGGCGGAGACCCTGAGAGAGGCCATCACCATGAGCGCCCTAGAATGCCAGTACCAATTCCGCTTTGAGAGGTGGAACTGCACCTTAGAGGGGCGCCACCGAGCCAACATTCTAAAGAGAGGTTTGTTTTTTTGTTTCAAAGAAGCAATATATGACATCCAGATCATTAATATAGCGGCAAACAAGCATTATCTAGTTGAGCTATGTCTACCTGGGCAGAGAAAGTTGAGCCGTTGAGAGGCAATCAAAATGCTTCCAATCACTCCGATATTGCACACTGATGAAAACTAAAACATTTCTTTAAATGAGCACTTTGATAGATTGATAGTGCACAGAACTCTTTTGAACCTGCTCTATTTCCCCCCCTCTCATTTGTCACTTTTTAATGTGCTTTTTCCAGGATTTAAAGAGACAGCCTTCTTGTATGCCATCTCCTCGGCCGGCCTGACCCATGCGATGGCCAAGGCTTGCAGTGCGGGACGCATGGAGCGCTGCACGTGTGACGAGGCCCCGGACCTGGAGAACCGCAAGGCGTGGCAGTGGGGAGGCTGCGGAGACAACCTCAAATACGCAAACAAGTTTGTCAAGGACTTCCTGGGCAAACGCTCCAACAAGGACCTGCGTGCTCGCGTGGACATGCACAACACAAACGTGGGCATGAAGGTAAGAGTGAGAAGATGGCGATGGTTTATTAATGGGGTGCTTGACTGATATTACTCAAAGTAATTTTGATAATAACAATGGGAAGTACTACTCAGCCTGTGAAAACGGTTATGACAAATTTTGGACATAACTTTCACTTAAAGCTGCTCTAATAGATATTTTAATATCCTCAATGGGTCAATTTTTTTTGTTTAATCTGAAAAGGGGTCACTCGTAACACCCATGAGGCCAACCAGGACACACTCATCACAAATGAATGAGGTCAGAGTTCATTTGGAGTCACAGACGGTATTCAAACAGAAATGTTGGCTGCTCTCTTGAATCAGTGAAACGGTGGGAAAACTGTGATAATATAATACAGGCTGAGTGCTGTGCAAATATATATATATATATATATATATATATATATATACAAACGGCAACATAAAGTGCCAAGTCATTGCGCCTTATCCCGGATATACTGTTCGACCATATCTTTGGTTTTGCTTTGAAATGCTGCAGTTTAAACATTAGAGCGCTGGTAAATGACCGCTGTCCAAAACACAACACACCGTCCAAATATATGGTTAGAATGACCAAAGTGGAATTGAATACGGCCGCAAGACAAGGACTTTGATAGAGTTATTCATGGCCATTTTGGTTGAAATTACTGAAAAAAATAGTGTAGAGTATCATGTATCTCCAAGAAACCTGGAAAAAAACCTAGTGATTAAAGTAATTGCCACTGTACATTTGGGGAAATATAAAAGTGCTCATTAATCAATATTTGGTTTTCTCTCCTAGATTAGATGGGCAGCATCTCACATTTGTGCTCCGGCACAATTCAATGACTGTTTGTGGTTAGCAAATATTGGTTTTTCATATTGGAAGTGTTTTTAATAGTAAAATAAAAAGAGGGAATGGTCTTAATCTGTCAGGCCGAAGCAAACTTCTGGAATAAGTTTCCTTCACTCGGCTTTTCTCACTCTGTAGCCATTTTCATCTTGCTTTCAAAATGAATTATAGCAGAAGCACACTTCCCAAATGTTTTCAGACACAAAACTCTCCCAAAAGACCAATGCAGGCTCTTCCTTTTCAGCTTGGCTCTCCGCAATCCAATGTCACAGGAGATTTAATTTGTGATAAAAGATTTACAACATTGTTTTTGCTCTTTTTTTTTTTTTTTTTTTTTTGTGTGATTTTTCACATGTAGTGAGGTAAACCGCAGTTGTTCGGGATGAATTCCCACACGGAGGACGGAGCTGGAATGTGCTAGCCTCTGCATCCCCCGACATTTAAAAGCTGACCTATCAAAATTTTCTTGACCTGCTGGTGTGATGAATGTGCGCTTCCTGTTCCCCGATCTCTTTCACAGTCTGAGAAAAGAACTGTAGCTGCTATCCAAACTCTAGGACAATGTGTTATTGTCATTGATTTTCGCACACACACTGCTTTTTCTTTGTGGTTGACGCTGAAGTAAACTTTGGCTGACTGCAAAAAGGTCAAGTAGCAATAAAATAACGCGTTTGTGGTCACTTTTGCTGACGATCTCCATGTTTCACTTGCAATTCTATGATTTTATATACAGACCATCTTAACTATTCTTTCTCCCTCCAACTGTTTGCATGACTTATTAAAGGACATAATTACCACACGAGAAGATTGAGTTCATCAACTCTAGGTTTAGTAAACGCATTGAGAGGAATAGCGCCCAGCATCTACATACAAGTCTCTTATTTACAAAGTCTGAATAGGATAGTCTGTTCTTAGCAATAACTTTCCCTCACTTATCGTGATAACAGTTATGTCGTTTGATCAAAATGACATCCGTGGTTATCATAAAAAAATCTTCCCACCAGCTAATATGCTTTTGCTCTTCTTTTCGCAGACTTAGACAAAGTGCAATATTGTTCTCCTTCTCAATTATGTTAATTATTGTTCACATGCAATATGTGAAGCCTCTGTTTTTTCCCTTTTATTGTGGTATCAAAGAGACCAGTACATTTACTAATTTGCTGTGGTGTCTTTTACATTCCTCTCAAACCACTGCTCTCCACCCTCAGTGTCTAATTGTGAGCATATTTTGGGTAATTTGGCTCTTTGAAATGCTGCTTACTAAACAAAGGCTCATAAAATGACATAGCTTTCATCACATTCCTTCAATATTACGTGGCAGTTAACAGTATTTCATTGTCTCTGAACCAGGTAATCAAGGCCGGAGTGGAGACCACTTGCAAATGCCACGGCGTTTCCGGCTCCTGCACCGTCCAGACCTGCTGGAGGCAGCTCCAGCCCTTCCACGATATCGGCAAGCAGCTGAAGCAGCGCTATGAGACCTCCATTAAGGTCGGCAGCTCCACCAATGAGGCCACGGGGGAGGGAGAGATCGCCACGGGCCGGAGCCAACAGCAGCAGCAGCAACAGCAGCAGCAGCAACAGCAGCAGCAACAGCAGCAGCAACAGCAGCAGCAGCAGCAACAGCAGCAGCAGCAACAGCAGCAGCAACAGCAGCAGCAGCAGCAGCAGCAGCAGCAACAGCAGCAGCAACAGCCCGGCCTGAGCGATCAGATCCCTCGCACTATGGACTTGCTCCACATCGAGGACTCGCCCAGTTTCTGTAGACCCAGCAAGTACTCGCCAGGCACGGCGGCCCGTAAGTGCTACAAGGACAAGAACTGCGACGCTATCTGCTGCGGGCGAGGCCATAACACTCAAAGCAGGGAAGTGACCCGGCCCTGCCAGTGCCAGGTGCGCTGGTGCTGCTACGTCGAATGCAAGCAGTGCACACAGAGAGAGGAGGTCTACACCTGCAAAGGGTAAACCGGCGACCTGTCGGCCCCTACGATCAGTGGAGCAAGTGAAAGATGGTGGTGTTGAAGGGGAGTGGCTGTTTTGTTCCCAAACAAGGTTCTGCTTCCACTGTCGGAACAGTGTTCTGCAAACACAAAAGAGGAGCGAGCCGATGGAGAAGCAATAAGCACTTTGAGTTGGGCTTCAGAGGTCCTGTGGCCCCCCGTGTCTGGGGTTTGCAGATAAAAAAAAACCCATCTCAGACAACTGGGAAAATATCTCAAGCTTCTTTTTTTATAAATCACAACTTTGCCTTGAAGAGAGAAGCTTTTATTTTCCCATAAAATAAAAATCCTATATCATCTTTTTACAAAAAAATCTGAGATTAGCGTCCAGCTAATGAGGATCAAACGCATGGACAGGAACACCATCAGACTGGATTCTGGGGTCAAAGAAGAATGGTGTGTGTGTGTGTGTGTGTGTGTGTGTTGGTCATTCTTTGTGTTTTTTTGTGAGCACGTGATAGATGGCGAGGGGGGTTCGAATGACGACTTGTATGGCAATGAAAACCATATTCAGAGACTGCTAAAAAGAAAAAAAAAAAAAGACAGGGTGTAAGATTTACTTTACACGCACATATTTACACTCGCACACATTGTGTGTTTGCATATGTATATAAATAAATTCAGTTATATTGTAATGATATTATACAAGCCACTTATCTAACTATGTTAAAACAAACCACTAACCACACAAATGTTTTGTTGTTTGTGTGCTCTCGCTCGTTTTTCTTCTTGATTCATGTTGACAAGGCCCTTTGGAAAGCAGCACACTTGCGTCCATCGTCTTGCTGTGGATAATTTATAGATCCTTTGGGACTACTCCTTCACAGGGAGAAGAAAATCTTTTTTTTTTTTGGTATTAATATAATATGAAGCTGTTAATAAATGCATTAACAGAAAATAACTTAACCAGTCAGTTTAGGCTATTCTCGGCCTTGAGCGAACCAGTGTTCAGGGAATAACTTAAACCACTATAACTATTTGGATTAAATAGGAGAGAAATAGTGCAAAGACAAGTGGAGATGACAGTGGCCTTTTTATGACGGCCAACATCATCGCAACAGGTGATGACCAGCAAACGGTCCACGTGTGACTCGCATCAGACAATTTTTTTTTTGAGCTCTGCAGAGTTTAAATCTTTTTATGTTTGTTTAAGTTTTAATACTTTTGAAGTTGTAAAGAAAACTGTGGCGAACTGGAGGAATGTAGCCCCCCTACCATTTCACATCCTTCTTTCCTCTTCAGCTGCCACGATGTGATTGAGCCATATTCAACACGTGTAGACATGTACAGTGGGAGCTGCATCGGTCAGTCCAAACAGTATTGGGCAACTGAGACGGAAATCTAACTTGACGTGTCTGAAGAATTGCTCGAGTGAAGATGAATACGCAAGTCTCATAGCTAATGTAAACATATTTAATAAGACTAACATTTGTGTAATGTTCGGCAAATTGATGTCTAAATGCAAATATTGGGGTTTTGCAAATCAGGTCTCTTCATTCAGACGTCAGTGAAATTGTTATAATACGTGGGTTGATTTGCTTTTTCAGATCGTTGACACTATGCAGCATACTGAACCCTGCCATGCAACTACAGTGACGGTTTAAAAGGAACAGTTTGATGTTTTGGGAAATACTCTTATTCACTTCCTTGAGTTAGATTACTGATACTGCTCTCATGTTTAAGGCTACAGTCATAAAGATCTGTTTATCATAAAGACTGGAAACCTAAAATATAACATGCCAATCGGTGAACTTCAGGGATGCTGGTAGGCCGATTTTCTTTCCTGTCTCTATGCTAGGCTAAGCTAACTGGCTGCTTGCTGTAGTTTCATATTTATTTGACATATATGAGAGTCGTACTGATCTTCTCATCGAATTATCAGCAAGAAAGTGAATAAGCGTACTTGTCAATCTAAAATGTCAAACCATTGCTTTAAGACAAAATGAAATCAAAGGTTTAATTTTATGAGAAAGGTCTCTGAACACACAAACAATGCAGACAATATTATGTCATTGTATTCTCAGCACTTAGCCTCTGGGAACATTATGTTATATACTATAAGTTATGACTTGTTTTAGATGGGTGTGAATTAACTACTGAGTGAGGGACCCAGCTTTGTATTATAGCACCATTCACGCACTGAAGCCCAAAAGCCCTTTAAAGTATTTTAAGATCTGTATTTATAGATGCAGTGCAGTTCAGATTTTTGTTTCTTTAAAAAAAAAAAAAAAAAAAAAAAAAGTAAATATTAAAGGTTTCTTCTCCTGTGGTATAGAGACAAAAGTGAGGCACATGTTCAACTCTCACAAGCAACTGTAACAGAAATTGGTAGCATTAGGAATGTTCGGCTGAGACGTTTGTGGAATCAGCACACAGCTGCTGTAACGAGATGGTTACAGATTGTAATCGGCGATGCAGCACCATTGCCGACCATCCTTAACAGTGGCTCTTACCTTTGAACAGATGGTTTTAGTCTGTAAAGATGATTATCACAAGATTTGAAATGAAAGCGCCGTCCTCGACAGCAGTATCATGCTTTAGGTAGAGAGCCTCGCATGGCTTATTTGTCCGGAGGAGATGAATTCCTAGCATTTTGATATGAGGAGGCATGCCAAATAAAGACTGGTCAAAACATATACATAGAACTTTGCACGCAACACGGAAACCATAATAGCTATGCGGAGACCTGAAGCATAAATGCCAGCTTCCCACAACTTTCGTGTGTGTGTGTGTGTGTGTGTGTGTGTGTGTGTGTGTGTGTGTGTG